AACCAGGAGCTTCACCCCAAAACCAATTAATAATGTACTTCTCTGGTATCATACCCCAGGGTGTCAGCGGCAGCATGAAGTGGCCTGTTAACAGTACATGAACAGCTATTGAAAGGAGGCTTTCCAGCAGGGAAGTGTCTGAAACAAAGAGCATTCTCTTCCAGATGAAGAGGGGTTTGTTACCCTGGGCTGCAGCCTGGCACTGAACTTCCCCCCCCGAACCATAGATATACAGTAGACGTCTTCAGGTAGTGAGAGGCCTCTTTGACAGCTGCCTTTCAGTTCCCAAGAAGGATGAGCTCTGCCAATAGTGGGGCTTGCGGTCTGGAGGCTGCCACCGAGGCAGCTGGCACTGATCAATTCCGTGTCTCTTTGATGCAGTGGGGTTTCGGATGTCAGGGTGAAGTGGTATTTATGGATCTCGGTTGCTTCAGGCAACTTTTGGCTCCTCTAAATGATAAATTGCTCTTTTGAAACTTCAGATTTGGGTGAATTCCCAGATAGCACCCAGAGCAAAGAATGAGGATTATCAAAGGTCCCCTTTCACAGATAAGGTGGTTTTGTTCAACACCCCCCTCTTCCGCAAGAAAAAATTCCAAGAAGTCTCATAAGCTAGACGAGACTGAACAAAAGCTCTGTTTTTTAGTCAGTACAGCTGTGGAGGTTGAGAGACTTTTTTTTAATCTGTTGAAAAGTGTAAAGTCCTTTAACACTTGTAGTTCAGTAGTCTTGCGTTCCTGCAGAGTAAAAAGAGAGCAAGTAGTAGCTTTGTCTGCCTTTTGCCTACCAAGAGACAACTGCAGGCTTGTACGGTGGTAAGATATCTAAAAGACATTAAAATAGTATTTATTAAATAAGTGTTCTTCTCACAAGTCTAAGATTTTCACTCCTGCCATGGTTCAAAATGAGTTTTGGTTGGGAGATACAATGGCAGAAGGTGAAGGTGCACAGAATTACTCATTGTTTTGGAGAAGTGTCATATTCCCCTAAAACTTGGGGTAAAGAGGTTGCAGAAACCTCCAGAGGTTTCTCATTGTCATCTAAGTAACAATATTTTTTTTTTTTTCTCCCTCTAAAAAGAGTGCTGGAAACAGGTTAACAACTGTCAACTTTTGGAAGTCCCTGTGATCTGTTTCTTCCCGAATCCAGATGGCAGTTGGAAGTGCAGATCCAGCAACACTTCTGAAATGGCCATTTCTAGACTTTATCAATCCCCTCCTGAGAACAGTAGTAGTGAACGGAGCTTTTTCTGATGGTTTATTTAGCCAGCTGTTTGGCTGTAGCAACAGAGATACATCAGAGCGTTTGAGGATCAGCTATATAGTGACACTTTATTTCTGATAAATTCTGTAGACTTTTTTTTTTTCTTTTCCAAATATGTTATTTCAGACTTTAGGGACAAAGGAAAGTGTGCTGCTATCAAACTTGCCTTTTGCTTTTGAAATGAACTTGTTTCTTAACTTCTTATATCGTTCATTTTTTTTCCTCCTTTCCTCTGGGGAAATTTGCCATCAGCTCAAAATACCCCACTGCCCGTGCTGTGACTGGAACCGGCAATACACTCTGCCGTAGTCAAAGCCTTCTTCTGTTGGAAATGTCCCTGTCTGAAAACTGATTTTCTTGTCTTGATGAGCAAGCACTGTCTAATGTGGAAAAAAATAAGTGTAAATAAGTGTGTACCAACTAGGTGATTTGAAACATAGTGACAGGCTCAGCTACTGATAAGAGTAATGATTTTTGTGGCATAAACATGTCAAAATACTTAACTACACAGAATTACGAATCCTAAAATGCGCTGTTACTAAAAACCTCCAAATGTATGTAAGTATGGAGAAATATTGCCATTTTCTGCTTTCCTGAAGTAATTGGAATGACTTTGGAATTACTGCTGAATTCTTTTTTGTTTGTTTAATTTCAGTAAAATATGAAAGAATCAAGTTCTTGGTAATTGCATTGAAGAGTTCTGTGGAAGTCTATGCATGGGCACCAAAGCCATACCATAAATTTATGGCCTTTAAGGTAACAGTATATTTCAGTCATATGTAGGATTTTCCCATAGCCACTTGCAGTTACCCCTTTTACAAAAGTGTTCTGACATTTTATCATGGCCATATTACAAGTTCTTTGGTAAATCTCCATGAACTTCGTATTATATTTTAATTTACGAGTTTTTTAGCTCTCAGAGGCAGTACACTTCAAGTTCTAAATTGTAACTGAGCATAAACTAATAATTGAAATGCTGCAATATCACAGCTGTTTGTTTCATCTCTCTATAAATAAAGCGTGAGGCAGAGAGAAGTGAACTGAGTCTAAACATCTTCATCTGAGCAGAACAAGTCATTAAGTGATATTCAGCATTGTTTGGTTTTTTGAATGCTGCAAGAATGAAGTTAGCTGGCTTGGTATAATTGCCAGACTGATTTACAGACAGTCAGTTACTGTTGGTTGTGCAGATTGAAGTAAACACTCTGGAAGTGTCAAATTGCCCTGAACTTTGGGGAAAACAATTTTTACTGAAAAACCAAACAGACCAACTAAAGTAAACCCCACAGAAAATAGCTTACAATATTATGTGATTGAAGTGCAAGAGGCTGCAGAGTAATCTGTCCTTGTTCATGAGAGACATGTTAGCCTCATGGGTCTGGTGGATGGGGGCCAGAGGGATGTGGGAGGAATAAACCTATAATATGTGCATTAGAGCATGTTTTTATAAAACCTACTGTGGTTCTAAGCAGTAAAGTAAATCTCACTGATGGTTGTCTCACAGTCGTTTGGAGAATTGGTACATAAGCCATTGCTGGTGGACCTAACCGTAGAAGAGGGTCAGAGACTAAAAGTGATCTATGGCTCCTGCGCTGGCTTCCATGCCGTTGATGTGGATTCAGGATCGGTCTATGATATTTATCTACCAACACATGTAAGAGCTGCTTCTGGGTCGCATTTCTTCTTTCTTTCTGGTTCCGCTCCCCCAACCCCTTCCTTTCCTCCGATGACCAACGTGTTGGGCTGTCCCTGTGGATCGCTGCCAGATGCTGGCAGCAGTAAATTGGGTGGAGGGGTTCGAGCAGATATGACCACCTGTGCTTAGGGGCTTCTGCATCACTCTCTGTCCTCCCCTCATGGTCAGTATGTCTCCATGGTTGGGAGCTGCCCACTCAGATCTGGCATGGGCCAACGCGACTATTTCAGGGGTAGCAGCATGGGAAATGCCCGGGAGAGGCTGCAAGGAAGGTGGAGGTACAAACGACATGACAACCCACTGATGAGACTCAACAGGATTGGCAAAGGCCAGGTGGCCTTAGCTACCAAGGTTTCCTGTTGTTTGTTGTACACAGAGGTGTTGGATGGGCCTGCAGTGTGTCACGCACCTCCCCAGCACTATTCACTGCAGTGCAGAGGTCCGAGGTCTGCATCTGGGCTGCTTGCCCCAGGCTCCCTTTCTGCCCCTGGAAAGAAATGGGCACTCCTGCAGAGAAGTTAATCTTTCCTGGTTTTAGATATCTGCCTTAAGATGAGAGCATTTGTGCGCCAGGGGTTTACTTTGTTGTCAGTGTGTAGGGTGTCCAGCTTGGGGGGAGAAGAGCTAGAGTGAATCCCCGATCTTCTGCCAGCCAAAATCAAAAATCACTCAGCCCATTCTTCCAGCACAGGCTCTGCAGCATTAAAGCAAAAGCCTTCCTCTTCTATTCTGTCTCTGCAGATCCAGAGCAGTATCCAGCCTCACGCAATCATCATTCTCCCAAACACGGATGGGATGGAACTACTGGTCTGCTACGAGGATGAAGGAGTTTACGTCAACACATATGGGAGGATAACCAAGGATGTGGTTCTGCAGTGGGGAGAAATGCCAACTTCAGTTGGTAAGTGCCTCTGGCCAACCATATACAACGTGCCGTTAGGGAATGTGTGCATGTGGGCAACAGGAAGATGCATCGGGTTTGACTTCAGATTCAGCAGCAGTGAAGCTATAGTATTCCTGGAGAACAGCTGCGGACGGTTGAGAACAATTATATGGATCTGGTTTGTACTGAGTTTTTAAGAACAAAATCCAAACGAGCGAGTTGTGGAGTTCAGGAATGAAAAAGTCAGCAGGTCCTCTGAGGGCTGCTGCAGAATTTTTGCTAGACAGCCACAAAGTTGTGGAAACGTTTCAGTATAAAGCCATGTAAGGTGGCAGATGGGTAAGAGATTATTATGGATAATTCTATGTAGATAACAGTCTGTATATCTGATTTGATGTGTGTAATTCACCTGCAGATTGCTCATCTATCCTAGCGAGACAATTCTCCGACATCTCTCCAGTTCGAAATAAGGTAGTTTTGAGAGTGGGAGCAATGAGTGTAGTACAATGGGCAGAGATTTGTTACGGACCCAAGTACACACCAGGATCCTTACTACCGCCTGTGCCACCCTATTTCAGTGCTGAGCGTAGCATAGGCTGTGGTCACATCTTCCTGTTGTTGGGCAAGCCCATTGCGTTCTACGTGCTTTGGAATGGATGCGCGTATTGGGAGAAGACTGCTGATAGCTGTTCGAGCAACACAAACAGTAATGGAGGAGGAAATTTAAGTTTCATGCACAGTATGTTCACTGCTGTGGTGGTTAACACTTGACTAGATCTAAAAGCAAGCAGAATTTATCAGCTGGCAAATTGCAGAGCCTTTGGGGACTGGAGTGTCTGGGAAGTAAATGGCACTGAGGCAGCAGACACCATCTGAACATCTCATCTGACAATTTTTAGAAGCTATTTGGCCCAGTTACCACTAGTGACATATTTAAAAATAAATAAATTTCCAGCATGATGGTATATGCAATGTTATAGGTGTACATTATACTGTAGTAGATAATTTGATTTAATTTCACTTAAAATTATTATGAAAAAATTCTGTAAAAGGGAAGTACTGCAAAATGAAATACTTTTTTTATTTTGCTTGCTAAGAGCCATTGTTCTTCTTTTTATTTTTCTATTAAGTATGCATGCAAATCAAAGGCAACAGCTTATTCTTCATTAAGTTCCCATATGTTATTTTTGGCAGTGTTCCTAAGACTATCCATCAAATTGCTTTTTGAATATACCTTTTCAGAATGCTGGTGACTTTCCCCTTTATTTGATTCTTTACTGCTGTCAAGAACGGATTTTTTTTCCTCATGCTACTACTAATCTGTTTTCCCCTAGTGACACTCTAAGGAAAAATGCTTGATTTTTTGCGTTATTTGTGCACAAAGAATAGCAGTATGACAAATAATAGTATTTTCATTTGGAGAGCTTAATATGAACCTCATTTGAGATGTACAGAATACTTTTCAGACCAATTGGCTTTCTCAAGGAGATCAGTTTTTTGAAGTATTAGTCCTACTAAAGGAGGCTAGCTCGTTTTTTTTTCTACTTTTCTCTATCCTTCTCCTCTTTCTCTGTTTTTGCTGAAGAACTTCAAGGAGTAGAAATAACATGATAAGACACAGAGCGGGTGCTGGGGACACACTGGAGTGGATGGGTTTAGTCTATTTAAACCTTGGGTTCTGCTTTCTCCTTGTCGACACTTAATTAGCCTGTCTCTTTGCCAAACTTGGGAGAAAAAGCCTGGGTAAAAACTCGATGTTCCTTCTATTTAATTGAAGGTTGTAAAAGTTCCCTTCGTGTCATTAATGCTCAGGGAAGAAGTAGATAACTAACATAGAAAACTCACAGGGAAATTTAAGAAAAAAAAGAAGATATTTTTAGGCATCATGAAGGTACGGAGGACAGAAATAGTACTCTGAACATGTGTGTAGTTATAATATGCACATGCAGGTAATTTTTAACTAGAATGCGTCAGTATATTCCTCTGCTTTTTCAGTTCCTCCATGTTGCCCTCTACCTGTGCTAAAGGGCTCTCTGCTGTGTTTTCTTTCCAAAGCATACATCCGATCCAACCAGATCATGGGCTGGGGAGAAAAAGCTATCGAAATACGATCGGTGGAAACTGGACACTTGGACGGTGTGTTCATGCACAAAAGGGCACAGAGACTCAAATTCTTATGTGAACGCAATGACAAGGTATAATCTCCTCCCCCCCGAGTTTGTTGCCAAGATGATAAATGTGTACTTTGACTGGATACTTGGGTTGGGTTGACCCTGACCAGCAGTCAAACACCCATCCAGCCTCTTGCTCACTCCCCTCTCCATGGGATGGGGAGAAAGTAGAAGGAAGGTGAAAAGACTCATAGATCAAGATGAAGACAGTTTAAAAAGGACTGCAAAAGCTGCCCACGCGTGCCAGGCAAAACAAGGAATTCATTTACAACCTCCGGTTCGCAGGCGGATGTCCAGCTGCTTCCCAGGAAGCAGTGCTTCAGCACGCATAACGCTTGCTTGGGAAAACAAATATCATCACCGCAATGTGTCCCCCCGCCATCCTCTCCCTTTCCCTGAGCTTTTGTTGCTGAGCATGATGTTATATGCTATGGGACATCCCTTTGGGTCGGCTGTCCCAGCGTTGTCCCCTCCCAGCCTCTTGCCCATCCCAAGGGGCCTTTGGGGCAAGGGGGCTGGCAAGAAAGCCCTGATGCTGTGCAAGCATTGTTCAGCAGCAGCCAGAACACCGGTGCGCCAGCAACGCGGTTTAGCCACAAATGCAAAGCCCAGCACCATACGGGCTGCTATGAAAAACGTCAGCTCCGTCCCCACCAGCACTACAATTGCACTGTAAATATCAGGGACAGTGAAGGCAAATGAGAGCCACTGCTGTCCTACCTGTTGAATTTACCAATCTCTTTTCTTCGCAGGTTTTTTTTGCCTCCGTACGGTCAGGTGGAAGCAGTCAAGTCTATTTCATGACCCTTGGCAGGACTTCTCTTCTGAGCTGGTAGAAGCGGTGGGATTTGGCGAGGAATTGCTGACATCCAGAGTCTGAGATCTTCATAACTCGGAATTATTTTCAACTGGAGTACAGACCTGCACTAATGCAGCACTCTGTGTAAATGTGTGTGCAGGCATCACTGGTGTTAGGTTTCTTTTTGTTTTTCAACCGAGGCTGCGACGCAGCTGGTGCTGTAAAGGTATTGCCATCAGGTGCTACAATGTCTTTGAGATTTGGGATCATGCTAGAAAGCTACAGGTCTTCTTTTCCCTTCAGCTCCAGGATTCCTAGGCTTTGAAGGACTCTGTTTGTTAGTGTTAAAATAGGGGGAAAAAAGGAAAAAAAAAAAAAAAAACAAAACCAAACCAGACTTACCACGAACATGCTGTTGAGTGGACAGGAGGCAGGCAAGAGAAGGTGAGAAATGGTGTAGAGAGTCAGACTGGCTGAAACAGAGGGCAGATCTAGTCTAGTAATGTTAACAACGTATTTAATTGACATTTCTTTTTTGTAATGTGACAATATGTGGACAAAGAGGAAGGTGCAGGTTTTAAGAAGTTAATATTTATAAAATGTGAAAGACACAGTGACTAGGATAACTTCTTCTTGGGGACAGGGAGGGTGGGAAGGGGCTTGGGGTGAAATTCTTGGGGTTTTTTTGTTTCTGCAGTTTTATTTTGGCCTGGCCAATAACTTTAGTCATTTTCTGTGTACCAGGTATTTCCTGAAACATGTGCAGGTGAGAGGATTTAAAAAAAAAAAAAAAGAGAAAAGAAAATAAAAAAGGAAAAAAAAAATAATTCATTTTCTATAATGATTCTGTGTTAGGCCAGAACTTGGTTATGTCACAGTATTAGCACTGCCTCAGTTAAAGGTTTAATTTTTGTTTAAACCTAGAAGTGCAACAACAGTTTTACCACAGTCTGCACTCGCAGAAGTAAAAAAAAAAAAAAGAAAAAAAAGAGAAATAAAATCCAAACTACATATGTTTATTTTTTGTGCCTACCTCATTGTTTTTAATGCATAAAATAAAAGAGGTGGTTTAGTTTATACGTTTTTAGATGAAAACCGTTAATGTCTAATTTAATCTTAATACCAAAACTACCAGATAGCAGGAGGAGCGAGTGGTCCGTTGGGGCAGTAGTGGTAGCGGTATGGCAGTGAGACACTGATTAATGTAATTTGCTTACAAAATTTGTTGAAGCAAACATTTTTTTAAACCAGTTTCATCCTTAATAGAAGTCTGAATTTAGCCTAAAACCAGAGGTTTCACTCTTCTAACACGTGGGCTTAGTAACAGGCAGGTAAAAATCAGGAGGAGCGAGTGGTCCGTTGGGGCAGTAGTGGTAGCGGTATGGCAGTGAGACACTGATTAATGTAATTTGCTTACAAAATTTGTTGAAGCAAACATTTTTTTAAACCAGTTTCATCCTTAATAGAAGTCTGAATTTAGCCTAAAACCAGAGGTTTCACTCTTCTAACACGTGGGCTTAGTAACAGGCAGGTAAAAATAACTAGGCTAGTTCTATAAACTGTTAAATGTCGTAGGAAACATTTTGGGGCGGTGATGTTTTTTCTTTTTTAAGAATGCAATGCACTAAAACTCTTTTAAGAATGTAGTTAATACTGCTTATTCATAAAAACAGCGTATACCTGTGTTTAGATGTAAGATCCCAGCTCTGGCTTTTTTTCTTTCTTTTTTTTTTTTTAAAGTCAGTTTTATTTTATGAATAAGTTCTGACATTTGTAATAAATGTCTTGAGAGTAATAATTTGTTTAATGGCTACATGTTCATTACTTGAGAAACCTTGAGTGTATAATAATCTGTTGGTGTTGTAATAATGCACAGTGTCACAATTCAGCCATTTTCCTTTTTGTTTTCACTTTTTTTTTTCTTTTTTAATTTCCTTTGGTGGGGTACTTTGTTGACAGCTGCCTTAAGCTGTTCATTCAGTGAACAGGCTCTCAGTGTTTCATGGGCTTTGTCTTCTGCTGCGGTTAACTTTTCTTCATGGCATGACAGGTAGGGCTTTTTAAACACGTATTCTTCAATTCAGTCAAGCCGATGGCTCGAGCGACTGATCACACAATCAATTAAGAGGCAAGAGCACCAAATGTGCAAAGCTCAGACTCGACAGACCCTTCTTTTGGTGTCAAATCTGACTGCTGTAAATCCTTCAACCCCAATCAGCGTTGCTGCTGAAGACTCTCCTTCGAACATCGTAGACGGTTGAAAAGCGAGCGGTAAATGCGTACCGCCAGCACATGCGTGTGCACACAACACCCCACACCCCCACACCCCCCAAAAAGAATCAAAACGCAAGAAAGCCTTACATTTGCTGGCGGAGGAATACCTAGAACTATTTTTTTTTAAATTGTATGACTTTTGGATAGTGTTGAAGGTGAAGGATGTGTTCTTTTCAGGCCCGGTGTGGTCAGCCAGAAGAACGATCAACCTTTTGTACTATAATGAACTAAAGGGGACTCGGAAACGCAACGCGATGGTAGACGTGAGTGTAATCACACAGCTGCCCTGTAGTGTAGTTTGCCGAAGCTGATTCGATCGAATGTCAGTCTGCGTGATTTAAATCTTCCAACGCTATGTGTTCAAAAATTAATCTAGTCCTTGAAAGCTGATGCTATTCACCTAGAGGAAGATGCTCCAGTACTGTAGGGATGCCCAGGTCACAGATACGTGCTGTTGAAGTTTTGAGGCTCCGGGGAGGGGGCGAATCTCCTTCCCTCGGTGGGGCTGCCCGCCTGGCAGCTTCTGCCTCCACAAAAGTGCCAACACGGCAAGGTAAAAACAGTATTACGAAACCACTACGTGTACCAACATCGAACTCTTCAAACAGTGCTTTTGTAAGCAAAGAAGAAAAGAAAAGCTCCTAGGTTTAGTTTTAAGCTTTAATAAGTAATAATTTTCTGTATCTTTAAGTCAAAGTAACCCTAACTTGTATGACTGCAGTGTTTTTTATTTTTTATCTTATGCACATGTTATGTTGGAGAAAATGTTTACAAAAATGGTTTTGTTACACTAATGTGCATCACATATTTATGGTTTATTTGAAAGTGATTTTTGTGGGTTTTTTTAGTTTTTCATAGTAGTAGTAGTACACTTTTTGTGATTTATAACCCCAAACTCTGCTGATTATAAAGATGCTAAACATTAATACAAAATGACAAACTGCATTAAAATTACTAATCGTAGAGCTGCAAAGCAGACTGGTGACAAGTAAAACACTCAGCCTTTTTTTTGCAGTGCTATCTAACTTGTCTTCTGTGTATTATGGAAATTACTGTTTTTTCCCCGTTTTTCCTTAAATAAAGTCAAATTGACACCTATTGTATGTGGAAAGTATTTTGAATATCTACTGGCTGCAGAAATCAAGCTGCATGTTGCCTAGTTGCATGTATCATAAGAACAAAAGCCTTATTGTCAAATCTCCTAATTTTAGAGACTTTGACAATAAATGTGGGCTTTTGAGGGCTTTTTTGTTGTTGTTGTTCTTTTTTTTTTCCCCTTAAAGCCCTATCTCCTGGTGCAGTTGCTCTTTGGAGAATTACAGTTTTCCTTTTAAAGAAAAAAAGTGAAAAGCTTGGAAACATGAGCGAGTGGTTCGGAAAGAAGAAGTTGCGCAAAGAAGAGCCTGGGTGCGTTGTGAACGTGCCCTCGCACCACACCGCTTTCAAGCATGTGATTTTTGCGAGCTGGCGGTACTTCTTGCCAAGAGAGCGTGATGAACAGGAGCCCTGAGCCAGATTCTCGCATGGCATAAAAGCACAGCTCCAAAAAACTCAAGCTTTCCGAGTCATAAGCTGTTGAGTGCTGAGCAAGTTTGATGCAAAGCCGCTGTTTGCATCCCTGGGGTTCTTGTTGGCCTTTGCCTGTGTTTTTCCACCCTGGGCTGTGTCTGTTTTCTGAAGTGGAGATAAGCAGTAGACGTTTCCTTCCGACTAGGCTGGTCTCTGCGAGAGGAGGAAGAAGTCTGTGTTCCCGGGCTTCTGCCTTTCCTCGCACTTTTGTCTGCAGAAGGCATGGGATGTGGTGTAAGTTGAGAAATGTTTCGGGGTTTCACTTGCTTCCTATGGACAAAGGTATCTGAAATCCTGGAGCCCCACAGCTTTTCCTCTTCTGCAAGTGTAGATACCAACTGAGCTTAAAAAACAAGCAAGACCAGCCAACTGCTGGTCAGGCTGCTGCCGGCTCCACTCCAGAGCTGCTGGTTTTCTTCAGTCGTTCTTGACCCGTTGAAGACTTCCCTCAGTTAAACACACTTAGCGTAGTCGAGCGCCTTTAGTCGTGAAGACAGATACGAGCTGTTGTTCATTACAATGTGCAGTAAGTAGCTGAAAGCAGCAGCCCCAGCTGTGAGCTTCACAGTGGGTACTGGCAGGGGCAATAGAGAACAGGCAAAACCTTCATGCACCTGTGAAGAAAGACACAATTGCAGTGATTTACAAGAAGAATGAAATAAAATAAATGAGAGCATTGGAAACTGAGCAGCAGATTTCATTCCTGTATGGGACTTGTCTGGGTAGCAGTGGTGAGAGAGGCCCGAATTGGTACCTCGTGAGGGGAGGATGGATGTGCACAGGACAGAAGAGAACAAATTGTACAGCAAAAGAACATGTGTGTCTTCAAAATTCACAACTGCAGTCGTCAAACCAGAGAAAGAAACAATCAAATATCAAAAGGAGCATTTGAAACATTTTTTTACAAAGCTTTTAAATATGCAAGTTAAATATTAGTGATGAAAAGTGCAGAACGCTTACCCTTGAGACTAAAGTTAAAAAACTGCAAATTAGAAAACATACAAGAGGCAGCCCTTTTGGGGGGTTGCTTTGCTGAAAGACACCTGCTAGAGCATTAGGATTGTATAGGACCTTACATGAAAGGGGGAAAGTCCAGTTTTGTGGGCTGCCGCCTGTTGTGCAGAGAGCTTGTTAATTCTTCCGCTTGTATCTGTATCGTGATCTGGGATGAGGACTGTAATATTGCTAAAAAGAGACTGAAGTTGTTGAAGAAACAACTTCAAATGCAAGAAAAGAGCCTATGGCGGAGAGGGGACTCGGCACCGTGTGTTCAACATGGGACTCTGCTGTATCAGAATGGTCCAAGGCCACAAATTTGCTCATGGGAATGCAAATGCATTTCCACCTCAGTGTCCACTGCCCTGTGACCCACCTGGGAGCTCCAGCATCTCAGCCCAGAGCTGTTGCTCTCTTCTTCCAATATCACTGAAGAAATATTGGCACTGAGTTGTGCCGTATTGCTTGTGCCGTATTCCTTAAGCACTTGTCATGGCTGGCCTGGTTTACTTGCTGCTGGCTCTTACTTTGTCCTTCAGTCCCAAACTGTCCTGCAGAGAAGCAATCCTGGGAACTTCACTGTGAGGAGATTTCTCTTGCCACACGAGGAACGTGCTTTCTGGCCAGGATTTCAGGTGCACGTGAGGGGTGTCCCTTGCCTGCCAGGCCGTTCTGGTGCGTGTATGGGATGCAAGTTCGAAGAGCCGTGTGTGCCCAGCAGCTGTAAAAACGTTGGCTGCAGCTCTCTTCCAGTACAGACAACTTCACTGCTGAGCTCCAGCACCCAGCTGTTGGCCTGTTTCCAACCCACTAAAGTGGGAAGGCTGGTAACAACCGTCTTCTTTTGACTTAACCTCCTTTTTTAAGAGTTTCGGGGTTTTTTTAGCAGATTGCAGTGTTGGTGGTGGTCGAGAAGGTGTGGAAACGCAGGGTCAGGCACCAGTATTGCTGTGTGGACTGCTGTGGAGGTTACTGGCTGGGGGAATTAAAGGAGAATGTCAGGTAATAGCAGTCACTTAATTTTCACTCTGTGATCGTGTAGCTCCACACAGCATATACTCCGATGAAGGGTAAAAACTCTGCTCTAGGAATACTGACCATCTTACTCCTCCTCCTTGAGTGGGATAAACCACAGAGACTCGTTCTAAAACAATAATCAACTAGCAAAAGAAGGAGGGAGGGAGGAAGGTGTTTTGTTGTTTAAGAAAATAAATCTCTAACTCAGTAAAGGTATGCCCGTTCCAGCTGAGGAAATGACAGGGATTTTTGTCCTTTGTTAAATTATAACAGGAAATTCACTTTAATGTTTCATTCTCAGGCTCTTCTGGTTCTATGAGGTAAATGTATGGCATGGGAAAGTCAGATTAATTTGTTCCAACTGCTGTACACAGCTCAAATTTTACTTGCCCTCTGTGTGAAAATTTTATTGCACAACCTCATATTTGTCATTCAGCGGAATTTGTCCATTGAAAGGCATTACCACACTTCCATTTTATTTTAATATTTGCATCTCCTAAGCAATTTTGCCCATGCTATGTTAGCCATGGAAAAAGGGCTTTGCTGGCTGTGAAACAGCTGTTGGAGTGAAGGGATTGTAAAATACTGTTTGCCTCAGCTCTCGTCACGGGGCGATTACGGACCATTTTCGGTCGAGTCCCGTCGGTATCGTTAGCAAGACTCTAGTCTTACAAACAGGCAAAGCTGAAAGACAGAAGAGAGTAAATGATGTGTTTGGGAGCTTTTAGTGAGTCCGAGAGATCATAAGAAAACAGAGGTTTTCGTCTGAGATCTTTCACCTCAGCTGTTAAACCATCTTAGCCCCTTGGGGTACCTGTGTCTCCCTCAGTGTTTGATGAAGGTGATGGAGTGTAGCCCAACGATCGCTTTCCTGGGCCAGATCTTGGTACTTAATAACCTTTGGCAATTCAGACAAAGCCGCTAGCAGAGCTGGCCTTGTGAGAAAGCAAAGCATAGAGACAATTCACGTTTTCCTCTTCTCTTTTGTTGCAATGGTTTTACCAGATTTTCCACCAGTGCTAAGCGTGCACATGCATGTAGGTGGCATAGACCGTGTGGCCTGGTGACAGCAGGCTTCCTTGCAACAAGTCCTGCCTTTTGGCAACCCTGTGTCTCCTTCGGTTGGTGCCACAAGGCAGAAAGTGGACCTGGGTCCTCCTAGAAGAGAGTTCTCAAGAGCCTTGTCAACCCCACTGCAGGCTTAAGCATTTGTTTAACTTCAGACATAACACAGACATAATCTAACCTCCGTTCTCCCAAGCATTTAGTTGTGTCCTAACCTCCACCTGAAGCTTAAATGTAGTCCCAAACCTGAAGGCAGACTTCCTAGCAGTGGATCCTACCATGCTGCAGACTGCACAGAGCAACTGGCAAAGCCAGAGTTGTGTGCACGTACAGAAGCTCCGTCCTGAGAACTGGCTCGCTGGGGTTCGTTAAGTCCTAAACCTACCCCAGTCAAATCACAAGAACTTCTGGAAAATTCATCGGGAAATTTTCGGGATGTTTCGGTAATGAAATTAACTGAAAGATAAGAAGAGAGCACAAACTGGCATAGAATGTTAAAATGCAAAGGATGTAATTATAGACTCACAGTTGTAATGACTCTAATGGATATCAGAGACAAGTATAAAAGGAGAATAAATTATTTCAGGGCATAAAGAATCGGTTATGGGTAATTAAGCTGCAATTATCATTACTGTGCTGCTCTGATAGGGTTTTTTAAAACTAATTTTTTCTAAAATGGAATAATGCAAGTTAAGCATGAATTAATCTATTATCTGCCATTCAGATAAAAACATTTTTCTTGTGCTTTTCAAAATGTGCCAGTGGGACAGATCTCAGTTTTACACTAGTGAGAACACCAGGGATTTTTATGAAAGTGATTTATTTCATGTCACACAGCTGTTCAGTGCCATCGTTTAAACTCACGTTCAGTGAAGTGCATAAACCCATGCCTACTGCCAGTCATGTAAGGCAGCAATCGGGTTCAACAGAGTTCTTCACATGCTTGTGATGAAGTGTTTTGGTAAATCAGTAATCCAGGGCTCTAATTCAGGGCAAGGACGGCACAACTTAGAGTGGCCAACAGCGTTCTTAGTTCAATCCACAGTGCTGAGATGGCTGAACCTGGAAATCAGCTGTTGAAAAGTTTCAGTTTACGGTGTTGAGATGAACCGTCATTGATGTCACCTGGCCTTAAAAGAGCCCTTGCAAAATGTGTTGGGTGAGCAGCTGATCCATGAGCAGGAGGGGTGTGAGAAGGACCAGGTTAGTTCTGCTTATGAAATCAGAGCCCTGAGATGGCAGTGGCATTACAAACGATGAGCCAGAAAAGGCAGCAAGCTACCTTCCCTCCATCTTAAGGCAGCGAAGACCTCGCAGCTGGAGAGTAACTCCTTACTGGTACCAACGTACAAACTGAGATGCTAGAAGTGCCAACACAAAATTCAGACAGAGGCTAAGTTTGCCTCTATTGCATGGTAATCTGCAGAAAGGAGCAAGGAAATGAATTCTAGGTTTGCTCCTAGCACTGCTTCTCTGCGGTAGTTAGGGGTATTTGCAGAGGGATTACTCTGAGTCCCTAAAACCTGGGTGCCCTTTGGTATCGTGGCTGGCTTCCAGCTGCTGCTGCAGAAGTACTGGGGTTCCCAGGGCAATGGGGGTGTCTCAGAGACCTTGGACATCTGGAAGGGAACAGCATGCTTGGGTTTAGGTACCTAAATCCCATCAGAGGTTTTAACACGTTTGTCGTGACGCTGAGCTCCTCAGTGCAGGTTTTGTCATCCGTGGCGTGTGTTTGGGTACTGCCTTGCATAACTTAACGAGTTGATGCTGCAATACAAACCTTTAGGAAAAGGATTTTTTTAAAAAAAATGCTGAAAAATTGG